GGAGAGAGGGAAGTCTGGGCATCTTTGCTTAGACTGCTGCCCCCACGACCCGGTCCCGGATAAGCGGAGGAAAATAGATGGATGGATGGATGGAAATACACAGCTCTAGAAAATCAGTTATGGAAAAGCAAGGCCACATTTTCTGTCTGCTGTCTCTCCTTGACTGGACAAAGGTAAGTTGTTCCACCTACAGAATAAAATCTAATGTAAGGTCAGTCTCATAACCCTGTGTGCCCTATAGCATTTCTAAATGTGTGTGTGCAAGTCAGAGAAAGCACGCGGATTCATCAGATGCCTCTGTGCAGCAGAAAGCCGTCATGAAAAATGACTCAACTTGAAGTAAAACCATGACAGCTGGAAATGTATCCAGGGACTAGAGGAAAGTTCAGAGACGTCCTCTCAGTCTGTGGGGACGTCATTTGTCTCCAGTCAAGAGAAAACAAAAACGATTGTGTCTCAGGCTCTTGGAAATGTAAGGAGTGTTTGTCAGTGACAGACGGAAGAAACAAAGACATTTATTTACTTCAAAATGATGCATATTGTTGCCTTCTTAGCCCACCACAGTGAACACTGCTAGGAAGCCACTTTGTCAGTGTTGACAAAACTGAATCACCATGATGTCGGCCTTGGGCTCTAAGAATCACTTTTTAAGACAGTTGTAAAAAGAAAAGCTGAGCATGTTCCTGTCAGACTGTAAACTGGTACTTACCTGAGACAGCAGCCTCCCTGTTCCTGATTAAACCTTTAGGACAATAATCCACTGCATCAGTTCTTTATATGAACCTCCATCTCATCCTCTTACAGGATCCTGAGATCCATTTCTCAGCAGTTCTCTATAATCTGATATGAATATGGAGACAGAGGCTTAATTAGTCGGGTAATTAATAACCAATCCAGATTCATTTATCACCTAGTTAAGATGGCTGTGTTTACTCCCCAGACTCTCATCTATATGGTAATCAGACTGGGACGGGACCAGCAGTGTCTGGGTCTATTTGTTGAGAGAGGGTTGAGAGGAGGACATGTGTACATGTGTGTGTGTGTGTGTGTGTGTGTGTGTGTGTGGAGACGTTGTGGGGTATAAATCTGTTTATACAGTCACACTGTGGGGACAAATAGCGAGTTCCATAAAGTTAATCATTAAATTTTAGGGTGAAGATGCAGATTAAAGGCGCATTTCCTTGTATCTCTCACCACTTGCCGCCATTATATCTAGTCACAATGTCCCCTGTCACTTTTATGCTGATGATATCCAAATCTATATGCCGCTGGTTCAACCTGAGGCAGGTTCGTTTGGTGCACTACAAAACTGTCTGCACGATGTTAAAACTTGGCTAACTCAGAATCTCCTTTACTTAAATGAAGGCAAATCGGAATTTATTGTTATCACTCCCCATTCGGATGGAAGTGTAGTGGATCTTGGCACATATGCCCCCTCGCTCTCTAATCTGGGGGTAATTTTTGATGTCAATTTTAACTTTGATAAGCAGATCAAGTCAGTAGTAAAAACTAGCTTTTACCAGCTAAGACTGTTGGCAAAGGTAAAGCCATTTCTCTGTCATAGTGACTTAGAGAAAGCCATTCATGCGTTTGTGACTTCCCGGCTTGATTATTGTAATGCCCTGTATTCCGGTTTATCTCAATCATCACTCTCCAGGCTCCAACTTGTTCAGAACGCGGCTGCCCGTCTGCTGACAAACACTCGTCGGCATGCCCATATCACTCCGGTTCTGCTGTCTCTTCATTGGCTGCTCGTTAAATGGAGAGTAGATTTTAAGGTTTTGCTTTATGCTTTTTAAGCCATGCATGGCCTTGCCCCTCAGTACCTGTCCGACCTCTTGGCTAGATACGTCCCTCGCAGAACCCTGCGATCATCGGGTCACCTTGCTCTTGTCGTTCCCCCTGCACACTACAAAAAATGGGGAGGTCATGCCTTTGCCGTGCATGGCCCTAGGCTGTGGAATTCCCAGCCTTTAGATATACGCTCGATAACTGAGCCGGCAGCGTTTAAGTCAGCGTTAAAAACGCATCTTTTTAAACAAGCTTTTAATGTTTAGCGTGTTCACTGTTTTTTTGCTAGCTTTAATAATTGACTTTCTAACTAGTTTTAATATGCTAGTGTGTGTATTGGTCCGCTAGACCACCATGGGTGAGCCCCCGGTGAGAGAGCTGGCCGGCTAGTAGTTGGCCTATATCAGTCTCTGGATATCTATTTGGCTTCTTGTTTGTCTATGAGTGTTTTTAACTGATATTGTACTGCCATGTTTCTATTGTTGTAGCACTTTGTGCTCCTGAGCTGGAAAGTGCGGTACAAATAAAGTTTATTAATTATTATTATTATTATTATTAACTCACATTCTCCCCAGGCTCAGCCCGGTGAAGACTGTGCTGTCCTCCTGCTGACAGACAGCTGTTCTGACAAGAGACGCTGCACAGAGGTCAGAGTCGGTGTGAATTTAAGTCGCGCATAGTCACGTCAAGTGAAGTCCCAAGTCGAAGCCAGTAGTGGCTGAAACCCACCATCAATCCTTCTCTAAGTAGTAGACTACCAGTAACTTTAGCCCAGGATGAGCTGCACTAGCAGGCGAGTGAGACAGATGAACTGCGCACCAAGGCCAATGCAGATATCGGCAAAGAGCAGAAATTCTTCTTCAGAAGAAAAACAAGCTACAAACAGCAAAGCATGGCCACAATTCATACTTCAGCTGAAATATAAAAGCCTAATCTTCATCATCAACACTATCATCACGGTGACTGCTACGCTACAGAGCACTACAGTGACTGTACAGAAAACAGCTGGAAACTTGTTCCAGAAGCCACTTTCCCATTTACTGTGTTTCATAAGTTTCCCACTCTCTGAATTTCATGACATTGGATGCTAAGGGTATTTAAATAATTTGTGGAAAATACAGCTTCCTTTGCATTATGCTGTAAAACTGAGGTGGTGCCTCAAAATCTGGTGCTGGTGCCACCATCTGAGAGACCTGGTGGCATCAGTGCCATCAGTATGAAATGTCAGTCTGGAGCCCTGTAAGCGGTTATTAGAATAATCATTTTGTCCCATTATCAAAATAATTCACAATAATAATGTAAATCATCTCTAAGTGGGAGGGAGAACTTGAGGACCCACTTCTGTCAAGTGAATGCAGGTTCAGACTGAGCCCATTATGAATTATACAACAGGCGCAGGTCTCCATCACGCCATCAGATCAGCCAGATGTGAGCCTTAAATGATGCGTCGTGTTCCTGTAGGGCACACCTTGAGCTAGGTTATGGAAAACGGAACTGCGTGTTGCTCCCATAATGGTACCCAGGAGAGTTTTTCAGAGTAGTTACAGTTATGGCAGTGATTCAGTGGAGGTGTGAGCTGCAGCCGAGCCACCGAGCTACTCACTGTGAACACAGCACCCTCAGTTTATACAACACAAGGTCCTGACTGGTGTCACACCAGTATACATGGGCAAACATACTGGCCAAGACAAACACTGCTAACTAGTGCTATGGTTACTTCTCTGGCTGATAGTGTGATATCAGCGCACCACCTAAAGCACAGCCTGGTCGAGACTGAGCTTGTATTCCACCAGGTGTGGGTCCCTTCACCAAGACCTGTCCATCACCTGAAACAACACCGTGGCAGTGCCAACTCAGAAGGCGAGGAACCCAGGAGGAACCCGGGATGATGAACTGTGTGCGCTCACACATACACACCAGAGAAGCTGAGCTCGCAATCGACTTTATGTTTGTTGTCGTCACTTATCTTAAAATATCCCTGAACCAATGAGACTAACAACCAGCTCAGCCAGCGGGAGGTCAATGTATCAGTGTGTAGTACTAAACAACTCTTAGGAGTAGGAGTGTAGTACTAGAGGGTGGTATCAGACCCGATACTGGTATCAGACCCGATACTGGTGGATCCCTAATTCTGTCATTTTTCCAAACAATTAAAATCATGTAAAACAGAATGAATAATGAAAATATAATTAAATTCAACTCAGATTTCTATAAAAGTTATGTCCATAACATGTGCACAGGGGTCTTGCATGTTGTCTCTGTGTAGTGCAGGACTTCAACCTACAACAGACAGTTCAAAACCAGTCTGAGTTGACTTTAGAAGGACTCGTGGTGTTTTAAAGCAAAAGACACCAAGTTTCCATGTGTGATGTTAAACGAAATAAAAAATTATATGTACCCTGTTGCTTACTAAATGGCTCATTTTAACCAGATCACAATCTAATGTCAGGTCATCTCTTCACAGCTGATAGCTGCTTGATATGAGGCTGTTGTTTCCCATCAGCCTGTTCTCTCCAGGACATCCACAGCAGCAGCAGCGTGCTATAGAAGATTTGATCCAGCTGAGAAGCCTCTCCAGAATAATGAGAGGCTGCTCCTAGCTGTGAGTATGGCCACTTCATTAATGCCGACAGTACCGAGAGTGAGACTCTCATACTTTAAATTGCTGCTACACCCTTAATTGAAGTCTAAGGCTGTCTTAAGTGTTATGGCTGTAATGTATACTTTAAAATTGGAACTTGGGGATTGCATCCCCGCAGCCTGATTGCCATCTCCATATCAGCATCATTATAGCCATTGAATTTGTCTAGGGAGGATAATTTGGCATTAGTGCATGCAGAGAAGTGCCAGCCTCTATGTAAGAGGGCGGGGAAAGCAATTCCTAGCATTTCTAACACCCAGTGTACTTTCAGAATAAAGGCTCTGCAGTATTTCTGCAGCAGACTGTCTCTCACAGACGACAGCTGACTACACTGAATGACATAAGGCATGATTTAGACCCTAGCCATCACAGCTCCGTGCCTAGCCCCAACCTGGACCTGATTCTAACCTGAACCCTAAAACCTGGCCATAACCCACAAAACAGCCCTTTGAGAGGACCAGCTACGATGTCCTCACTCCCATGGTTTGAAACTCAAACCGGTCCTCACGGTGCAGCCACACACATACAAATTGTGAGCTAAGTAACATCCTTAGGGTTAAAGAGATAGGACATAAAATGATCATTGATGACATTTATTAGTCGGCATAACTGTGCAGTGTTTTGTAAGGAACAAAACTTGTTTACCCTAATATGTAGCTACCAGTCACATTAACGAACACACACTCATTAATATGTTCTGCTTGACCAGCCAACCACTGCTTCATTGTTCGGAGGGAATTTTCTAGAAACGTATTTGCATGTTGAGATTAAGACAGAAGCTGGGAAGTGTTAAAACCGCCATGGGGATCACAGAGAGGAGCTGGCCGTGGTTTGCCCTGATAATCACTGTGTGTTCATGGGAAAGCTGTAACGCCAGTGTGGCCCACAGGGACTCGGATAATCGCCCATGTTGATCACTAGAAGGGTTGCTTTTCTTAACAGGAGCGACTGAGATGCTGATTGGACGTCAACAGTAAAAACAGGGAGACGTGATAAAAGAGAACAACACAGGAAATAAGGGAAGTGGAAAGGAAGTAATGACGAAGGGTGAGAAAGTGAAGAAGACTGTAGGAAATGATGACGAGGGAAGTGGAGGCAAAGTGAATGTTGTTCTGTCTTTTACATCAGCCGAACATTTCCTCCTGTCTGTCTTAAAGGCCCCCGGTAAGGAAAAGGCCAACCCGGGCTAATGAAGCACAAACTCACTCATTATCTGGGAAAGACAACATTTCCTGGCTTCACACACATCCTGGCCTGAGCTGCTAATTTCTGCGAGTCAAACTAGGAATAACAATGGGAGTACCGTAGGCTAATAACCTGGGCTCTCGTCCAGGCCTGCGCTAGGCTGGATGCAGTCAATGACTTTGGTTTTACTCTGTGTATTGTGACAACACGAGGCCGTGCAGCGTTAATGTGGAAGCTTTTCTATCTGGAGCCCTCACAAAGACGTGGGGGGTATGGAGCTTAAATCTCATGGGCAAACAGCAGCACGGTCGAACCAGAGCTCTCTATACCAACAATACTGTGGAAAAGATTTTCAGATGGGTCCAGTAAACACCACATAATCAGTATTCCTCAACGTGCTCAGTACAGTTTGACACTGTAGATGTAAATCAGCAGGTTGAATTTACAAGGACTCAGAATGTGAGGCCACAACAGTTAGTGATGACCTGCTAGAAATCTTCTTTTCACATTACATGTCTATGTTGATAGCTGAGAAGTGGTGGCCTAGAGACCCACAATGAGAGTGGACCTTCCAGGTTCTGGTCCAGAAGTACGAGAACCTCATTCAAAACCACACTGGCATTTCTAACAGCACTGTATCTAACATCCGGCCTTGGACCAGAGCCTTTCTGTGGCTCACGTCACATGTTTAGATGAGGACTGTAGTTTTTGGAAAAATGATCTGATGTGGTTCTGTATCTAACATCCAGCCTTGGACCAGAGCCTTTCTGTGTTTTTGGAAAAATGATCTGATGTGGTTGTTTATTCTGCTTTTATCAAACATTTTCCATAAGCCCTAGATGTCTTCAAGCTAAACACTGTGCACGTCTCTGAAGAAAGCCAGAGATGCAACAGGTATCTCCACCCTGTTTGCAGCGATTACTGGTGCTTTACTGATGTTACACGACTGCTGTAACAATGATCCAAGACATTTCTGCTGTATCAAACATCCAGCTCACAGAATCTCATGAAGTCTTACCTTCACATTTCTCCAGAATCTGAACCGTCTCTCCCACCTCCAGAGCCAAACCCTGAGTCACGGAGCCCCGGAAGCTGCAGATCACTGTGGAGAAAAGGACAGAGAGGAAAAGATGAGGCGCTATGAGGAAGGTGAGGAGGTCGAAAATTCAGTCAGTAGTGTCCAACAGAAACAGCTGCAATGACACCATGGTTTCTGAACTGCTGCACAACATCTATGAATATTGGGAACTTTATTCTTCAAAAATGTTCAGTTGCACTCTGGTTTCTAAGCACCGAGCAGATCCCAGATCACCTGAATACCACAGTTACGTCCCCGTCTATGTTCCTGCTTTCCACCATCAGTCCCGTGACAGCAGTGTGACGCCAGCATCAGAGCCTGACTGAACGCACCCACAGTCCTTGTTGTACAAGGCAGGTTGTTGTTAATATATCTCATGACTACACCAGTGCACCCAGTAAACAGGGCTCAGAGCCTCCTCCAGTGTTCATCTAAGTCACACTGGTGTGTACATCACTGCAATGTGAACTACTGAAGTCACTTAGGATGCGTGTCTCAACCGATGATGTTTAAACCAGCCAAGGTAACATTTTCACCCTGAGACACTGTTGTAGATCTCTACACACTCTTTATTTTTGGCTGCTCTCTATGGTTTTTCTACTGTGTGACAGTAATTCTACATACAACCCTCATTAGATTTCAGAGACTGGTGGTTTTAACTTGGAGAAATATGGTGAGATGTGGAGATGCCACTTCCAGACAGGCATCAACACATCACCAGGGACGGAGTGAACGCATCAGCTCGTCGGTTTGGCACGACACTAAATCAACTCAGCAGAAACAAAGATGCCAATTAGGAAACAGGCTCAACCAAACACAGCTCCTTTCACGGACTGAATGGACCAAGTTCTTCAAACTACTAACAATAAAAGTGTTTTATTTGCTACTATACAGTGTATTCTATAATCCAATCAGGTCAAAATGTATGTTTAAAGTTCTGTCGCATACAGCGATGTGCAGCGTGTGCAGGTTTGACGTTTACAAAGTGTTACTGCTGTTATTCACTTTGCTTCTGACATTATTTCTCAATGTCATTTGTTATACTTCAGCTGCTGGTCCAGAGCTATTCTATCTATTCTATCTATTCTATCCAAAAGCACAGAGAAACAATGTTGTATGTTTATTTATTTACTTCTTGAGATGCAGTGGCCCAAACATGTTTTGCTATAAGATGCACACACACACACACACACACACACACACACACACACACAAGCAGCTTGTATTTACCAAAAACACTTAACCAGCAAGGTTGTTTAGTAAATTACACATTGAATTAGGACATAAGACTTTTATATTGTTATTTTTCAAATGATGCTTTAATTTACAGAACAAACTAACTTTTCTGCTTCTTTTCTGTTAATCTGATAACGACTCATCAGAACCAGTTTAATTCATGTTTCATTTGCAGCTCAGTGGACATGAATCGGTGGTTTGACACACGGCGCACTGGAGTAAAAATCAAAACACAGAGCCCTTCATTTTGTTACTGAACAGAACCTGTTGATTCAAGAATCGAATCGTGAGTGTGGCCAAGTCTCGCAGCCCTACAAGCCGCTGCACACAGCAGCAGGTTGGTGGAAGCTTTTGCAGTAAATCTGCCGCTCAGTGCTTGATGCATATCAAGCATCAGCAGGGACAGGCCTCAGCTGAACTGTTAAACAGCACCATGCACATTAATGCACTGTGCACTAAGAAAACTGAGAATCATTTTCAAGCACAGGTTTCTCACTGAGTTGAATCAAACTTCCCAGTGTGACTTGTTTCAGGGTCACAACTATCCCACAACCTCAGACTTCTGTAGTTTAAAGAAAACATACAGGGTGGAAAGTGTGTCTAGAATAAATATTAAGCTTTCATATAATAATGAAAACAACAAGTTACTGGAAGAAGCCTCAGAGGTTGTGTTTGTGCCGACTGATACACAAGTGGCTCCAGCAACAGCAGCAACAGCTCTGAAGCCAGGAACATGTCAGCAGAAATAGTTAATAGTAGGAAAGGGTTAAATTGTTGATTCAACTTAAAGCCCAAATGTATTGAATTTGTTTATTTTTTAAATTTTAGACAACTTTACAGAGCATAAACTGTTTTAGTGTAGCCGGGGAGAGGAAGAACCAACAGAAAAACAGAAGAGCGCTTGTGCATCGTGAGAGGTGCGTCAGGTCGACCTGCATCCACGCATGGGAATCCTCCTTATAGACACGGCTTTAACTCGTATCTCATTCCCCACTGGGTCTGAACACAGGCTGAGAGAGCGACAGTCTCTGACTACTGCGTCAAACAGATGACAGAGTGACAGGCCAGTGACAGCGACGGAGTGACAGCGGTGACAGCGAGGGACAATGAACAAATGAAAGAGGCCTGGAGAGACGGAGGGGGCATGTCAATGACAGAATCGAACACGGTGACAATCCCACACTGAACGGTGTTAATAATGGAGCCTGAGAGCACGACAGCAAGTGACGGCACTGACAGAGAGCGAGGCATCGATGATTACAGAGACAGATGGTGACAGAGACGATGGCAGAGAGCAACAAGCAATCCTGTCATCTTGAGACGTGAGGTGTGTCCTCACTGCTTAAGTATCAGACTGCAAGGCAATGGTCAACACAGCAGTCAGAGCCAAGCTCCTGGCAGGACAGTCTAACTGGTGGCACTGCTGTTATAGCTAACATTTCCCCAACTGTCTGTTAAACCCAGTGACAGTGGGACAGGACGTGGTGTCCCAGCTACACCCCCCCCCCCCTCCATGACCCTCTGCTGCCCACAGCCTCCTCTTGTTATTCCAGCTTCTCCACCCTGTGTTGTCAAAGTACGATCTGTAAATTAACCTGCCTGCCCCGTAGCCAAGGTTAGAAGAAGGGTTTTTCCAGCCAGCAGTCATGTCAAACTGCCATGGAGGAGCTCTGGGCAGCTAAAAGTCTGAACCAGCAGCTGTCAGAGTGAAGAGGTGGCGTCTTTAGCACAGAGAGAGTGGGACAAAGAAAGAGCAACAACCAGGGTTAACATGGGTTTGGCTGTTTGACATGGAGAGGGTTAAAAGCAGCCAGAGGACTCAGACTGGATCCAGATGTGGGGTTCTTCCTTCTGGATTAAAGATTAGGTGCATTTCTATTTACGGCAGAGCCAACTACAGATCTGGACCAGCCTGTAATCCGTAAAATATCTGCTTCAGATTTCCTTAATAACTATAAGTGTAAATTAAAACCTCTCTGAAGTAACTCATAAGTGTAAATTAAAACCTCTCTGAAGCAGAAAGAGGCAAATAGAAACACACCCACCAAACAAACATCATTTCCATTTCTTCGTTTTAAACTCAACTTTCCTTCTGACTTTCAGGCCTGTTGTTCATCTTGTGGTGAGATGTGTTTGAGCCTGTTATAAGGCTGAAAACAAAGAGGAGAGAAATGATGGAAGATACACACACACACTCCGTAGGGTATCAGCATTTAGTTTATCTGGTGGATTGTGTCAATAGTTGGACAAATGACTCACAACTGTTAGGCCAATCTCACCACTTAGCCTGTGCCCTTTGTGTGTTTGTGTACAAATGTGTCTGTGTGTGAAGAAGGACATGAAATGAGGACGGGGCAATGGACTGACTCATGGTCCCTGACAGGATCATTCAATTTAAGGTGAGACTTCAAAAGCATCTTTTAATATTTAACTGCTGCTCCTGTTCCCAAAGTGACACAAACGTTTAATGGCTCTGAATTATTTTAATTAGGACCTTAAGTGGAAAACAGATTGAATATATGGAATAAAGATGTCTGCTGCTTCTAACCACAGCACCTTAAGGTGCCAGTTAGTGCTGCAGTGTTTTAACGTGGGATGTCCGTGTTCGTGCCACAGGTACAGTACACCGCAGTAACATGCACTCGCTTCTACTGATCTGTGTACACACACTCACCAAAATCCAGAGGTCACACATGTGCAAACACACTTACCAAAATCCAGAGGTCACACATGTGCATGTGGTGAGAATTAAGTCCCTACTATATAACATTCTGATGATCTGATAATGTTACGGGAATGTCACGTATTTAGGTTAAACGTTTACAAAGCTCCTGATTATTAATTTGCAGGCTATAAACTAACCATTGGCTGCTAAATAAAAAGACATGCCTTTCATGGCCATCAGAAACTCTTCTCAATCAAACCTTTAATCGATTCGACGCCAAGTTTAACAGCTCCAACTTGACGTTAGCTTCCTAGCTAACGTGTGAGTAGCTAATCCGTTAGCTAACGTACACGTACCCAGCTTTCTTTGACTTTTGTAGTGACGGATGAAGCTGGTGTTGTGGTGGTTGTGTCGCTGAGTTTCGCGCTGCAGATTTTCCACATCACTGTTCTTGTCTAACTACCGTCATTAAACCACAACCTGGATTATTTTTGGACCAGGCCCCTCCATGTTAGCCGCGTCCTCTGGAGTCTGCCGCCTTCCGCTGGGTTGCCAGGTTTGCGGGCATTGCACTAGAAATCACCCAATTGTGTTCCAAAAACAAAACGTAGCTTCTAAATATCTAGAAAATGCAAATATTTAATAAGAATTTTCAAGTCAAATTCAAGTGTCAAGTCAAATTCAAGTCAAGTCTTTTACCAGTGTTTGTCAAATAAGTTGTTTGTTTGTTTGTTTGTCAAATAAGTCTCAAGTCCTCAAATTTGTGACTGACTCAAGTCATGTCACGTAACCCCAGTCCCCACCCCTGCCAAAACAAGTGGATTTGACAAATATAAAATAAAACAAAAAAGATTAAAACATCTGAAATCAAAAAACCTGCTCACAATATTCATGGCAGAAACTGCAGCCAAACTGAGTGTGGTTTTTAACATCTGTTATTAAATGACTCACAGGATCAAGGTTCTGTACCGGAAACAAATTCCTTGTGTGTAACATACTTGGCCAATAAAGGTGATTATCCTTATCCTTATCCTTAGTACATAGCCATTCTCTTGTTGTTAAAATGGTGAGCGGCTGAGGTACAGTTGTACACATTTAGAACAGAAAGCCAAACTGCAGTGTC